TCCCATCTGTTGTGTAATTACACAATTCCGCATCGTTTAGTTATCAAAAAATTTATTCCACATAATTGGATTCATCGAAGCGTTGGATATTGATCGAAAAGCTGTTGATTTCGTCAATTCATGAGCACATCGATACTGTGTATCAGTTCTATTAAAAATGTGTGTATTAGACAAAACCACACATATTATCTGTCAGATACAAGAAGCTTGACAGATCAAGAGTGAAAAGTTGTTGTTTGCTCAATTTTGTTTAATATGAGTGTATGTTTGGAATGTTTGAAAAATTGTTTTTCACTACAAACGAGAATGGATTAGTTAGCATTTTAATACTAGTGTACAAGACGGGTAGTTCGTTAGCACAGATTATAAGCTGTGCATCTGACAAGTTTACAACAATCACATAAGTGTTACAGGCGATAACAAGTTGAATGTATTTAATTACATTCAGTTCTGTGTTGAACAGTTTACACGCGGAAATAGCTAGTGTGTACACATGAGATCATGGACCGACAGTTCTTGTAGTCTCCTAGAACAAAGATCATATAGCTAGCAGTAACATAGTTTTGTCTGTCCGTCAACTAGCCAATGGAATATTATAGTTTCTGTAAACTAAACATAGGGTGGCATTTTCTGCCATTAAATACAGGAGCAAACAAGACATATTCATACACACACATACGGTTAAGGCAACCTAAAACATCACATTATTTCAAATTGAACATCACTCACAATTGATCGCAGCTGTCGCATTCCCATAGACTTTCCAGTCGGCCCCTTTCGAATAGCAGAGGCACTAGACTCGAGTTTCGCTCTCATTAGAGCTCGTCATTAGTGCATATCATCCCCACTGCCGGGACTCAGAAGCGAAAGTGGTTGAGCGTTCACATATGATAATTTGGTCGTGCCCAACGTGAGGTCAATGGAGCAGTGGTACACACGGTTGCCTGCTCATGAACAGCGTGTCCGTTGTTCAAGTCCCGGCTGCAGTGGCGATGATATGCACTACTGACGAGCTCTAATGAGAGCGAAACTCGAGTCTAGTGCCTCTGCTATTCGAAAGGGGCCGACTGGAAAGTCTATGGGAATGCGACAGCTGCTTGGATCAATTGTGGGTGATGTTCAATTTGAAATTAACCAAATCCCCGACTACTTATCGCATTATTGTTGCGAATTCGGCCACATTGTTACTACTACAATGATAGCTAACTAGTGGTAGGCTGTGACCCTTTAAAGTTGAAAGGGTGCATCGGTCATAAAACTAATCTGTACAAAGTGTCATAATCCCATCTGTTCAGCCAACAGGAGTATGTGAAATCATTTGTTAAAACTGGCCCAACTACTGACATTCACGACGGTTAATGAGGTTAGTTGTTATTACGGGATAACTTATGTTGGTAATTTTGTAGTGTGTATTGCTCAGTTCACTTTGGAATTAATTCGTTTATTTGGTCACCGACCTGTCTCGAACTTATGAATGACCGAGTATCCCCATCCGGAGGTCAATAATTCAAGATCGAAATCCGTAGTAATGTCACATTAAGAAGAAGTAACTTGTAATAGTAGGGAGGAAGCCCGTATTTCTGTGAAGGGTGCCTTGCAGCAATTGGAAAAAACAAAAACTGTTTAAGTTAGAGATCTGTTGATTCAACCGCCTGGCTTGCTCAGTAGAAAACCACCACAACACGCTATGTCACAGTCTAATAGCGCATGTTCGCCGCTCGAATTATATCCGAGTAATGGGGTATATAGTGAACAAATACCGCTACACCTCAAATCCAGCCACCAAATCGTGGTGGATTTTCAAACTGGAGATGCGAGTACTTCAACTCTCAGCGAAATACCTCAACGCGGTGGTGAGATGCGTCCAAAAGCCTACAGCCAGGGGATCGCGGACAACATGGGGGACCGGACGAGTCATCACTCAATGAGACCGGATCAACGGACGAGACATTGGAAAACTTTTCGAACGCAAGTAAGCGAATGACCTGTCGGTAAGTTGACAACTGAACAGCATACTGAAATGAATTTTTATTCATGCTACCAAGGAAAATGTATATAGGAGACCACTAGGGATTTTAGCACAAGGTACGTGGGCAACCTAATGCTTGGCTGAAATTAGTTCGAAGCTTGATGAATGGTTTGTTACAACGGGCAGTGTTCATGGTCAGCAAAGAGGTCGTCGACCGCGCACATCATCAGATGATTGTTTCGCCAGTTAAGTTCCGCGAAGTTGGACTACCTCAAACACACGATCTGTACGGAACGTTCACAAACCGTGGAGAAGTTCAAAGTGACCATATATCAATACATCCCAGAAGTGCGATCTGAGACCAGCGTGATAAGCTCGTTCAAACCAAGTTATGTGCGGCCATTGCCCAGCAAATTGAACTGAGAAGAGTGTGATCCAACATAGCTCAACATGACTACAGTCAGTCGAACACGCGTACACAGATCGAATTAGTCAACTCCGGACTCACAAGTCCAAGGTGCCATAGGTGAAATGGAAGTATGGATTTCAAACCGCCATCAGAAGCATTTACACTTATAACCTGTACGGTCCCAGAGAAGTCAGTTGGAGAACAAACACGACAATTGTAAGGAGTTTGTTAAGCAACTCAAACACCCACCCCAGCCCCCTCGTCCCCTAACTCGATCAGTATACACATGTATCAACATGCCATCTCAGTTCGCGAACACCTAACGAAAACCTGTATGATGTGAATGTTTTGTGCCGATCCAAACTAAACGGATGTACCGATTTTCAGGACGAAGCAGGTTTCCAGAGGACAAAACATTTTCGAACGAGCTGTCTACGCCCATCTCGATAACGCAACGAGTTGTCCTAATCATGACACGGGTAAAATGGTCAACCAAGGCATGTTGACAGGAAGTGAAACGGCACGGCTCACTGACGAAGCTAGAAGATTGAGACAGGCCAAGCGACGCTTATCGTTTTCACAACATGAGCAAAATACGTCACGTCAGAGTCCACAAATGACGCAATATACCCAAAGCACAGCATGACGTGCCTCTGATACTGTGAGACAAATGGTTAGGTTTTGATCAGTCTTTTAATGATTTGTAAATCTGTTTCGTTTATGAATGCAACTTTTACCGTTTGTCGGTTGATGAAAAAACCATCGTGATGGTGCAATTCGTTAGGGAAATATCGTATTTCTGATTTGTACAGTTGCGCTTACCGGCGCACTTTGGTTCGCAGTCCAGCATTGTCGTTCAAGCGCTGGAATAGTTACAGAGACATGTGTGAGCAGCCAGGTGTTATCGATTGTGGGCCGTGGTGGCCAAAATACTGAGTCGATGGGGCAGACAGACTTCACTGGATATGCGCGTACACTCTTACTCCTACGCACAGCCAACTAATTTGGTTGTGGTTTCGTGAGTGTTTTGCCCGTTCGATCGCCTGACTCGATTAAGCCTCGTGCCCGCTGAGTAAGTCATTCAGTCTGGACTCCAGATTTTGGCACAAAGACAGGTCTCCGAAACACACAATTGGCCTCTTCGTGTTACTGGCTTATTTAAACAGACTAGAGACCAATATTTTACGCAATTATTGTTCAAATCATTCACTGAGATAGCTGAAACTAAACAAACCGAATTAGTAATTCGAACTTACTCGCTATCTGGTCAGGATATAGATATTTCGAACCGAAAGTGAATACGGTGCTATGAGACATAATATAACATATATTGTCGAAACTGTTTCTCGGGTGTGCTATCACTTGTCCCTTTGTCGAGGTTTTATGGGCATTGGTCACTGTCGTCATGGTAACTCATCATGCATTGTGCCCCACTGATCAGAGGTACCTAGTTTGTCGTGTGTTGGAAGGACTCTGGATTGATGTCCACTGGCCTACAACTCATGTAACAAGGTATAAAATGTAGGATGTAAAAGTTTCCTTTTTTATGATCTGTGTGATTCTAGGGACCAAAACAGGTAGGAGGACCATTTAGTTAAACAAAGCTATAGGCGGAGTAGAATGGAAAGCCCTGAAATAAGGCAGCGAATGCTTAAATGACTGTTCGGTGTTAGTTGCCTGAGAACGCTCATTCATTGGTTCATCAGAAATAAGTTTTTTTGTTACCTATAAACTTAAGAGGACTCCTTGGCTGACTGCTTATTATAAAACTCGTGGGTTACTGTGGTCAAATGGCCATGTATTGTGGATGAATTTACAAAAGACGGTAGTTTTCAGTGAAGAACAAGTCTAATGGATCGATTCCACGCTGACATGAATTATGGTAGACGGCATCCGTTCGGAACTGGCTGTCTAATTATCCGGGGTGCTCTCATTTTTTAAATTAAGTGATAAACATTTATTATGGGCAGAAAAAAGTATGCAAAGTTTTACGTAACCACACTTTCACGCCATTTTTTGCAATTCTTGAGTGTACTACTTAACGGACTGTACACTTTCGGCACGATGTGATTTACACAGGAAAACATCAATCCACTAATTTGATATACGCCTGACTCTGAACCAACCCTAAAGGTTTGTTAACTGATGAGATATACAAAAAGTACGGAGTTATACAGAAAAATTGAAGTCGATGGACCACATCTGAGTTTTACTTGCAACTGCACTCGTTGACAAATAGAATGCACAAACAACACAGCTGTGGTTTGAAATAAATGTTTCACACTCTGATGTAGACTTACGTGTGAATCATTTCAGCTTAGTGTTCGTACAGTCACAGTACAAACAATTCAATTCTCTAAGGTACTGAAAAATACAACTGCTTACGATTCTAGCTTTACACGTGGATAAAAAAAATGTAATTTTGTTTTGTTAGGATTAAACCGCATACGCAAAAACCCTGTTATCTGCAGTAATACCAGCGAAATATACATGTTGAACCACTGATCAACAGTATAAGCACGATACGATGAACTCAATTAACGTCTTTGTGTAATTAATCAGCAATAACAACGTAACAAACGGAACTTGCTTTTTTAGACCAGACCCAATTCTGAAGAGTCAGGGCTTCGGCTGGATTCGTACCAGTGACAGAAACATCATGCTCGAACGTAACAAGCGCTCTACCAATTGGGCTACGAAGCCACACCAGGAATGCGGAAATTTCATATTTGGACTCGGCTACCCACCCGTCCCACTGTCTTGTATGAAATCCACCGAATAACCCAGGAAATCAACTGTTCCAGAAATTCTACCGGAGCTTAAAAGACGTTACCCGGCTGATATAGGCTATGTCATAATGCAAAATTTCAACCTGAACAGTTCCTGTTGGCTTTTTCATTCATCTCTCAGCAAAACTAAATTAACTCAAAGTGTAGACAGCAAAGGTCGAAGAAATTTCTATCAACGAATTTATAGGAGAACATGAATCGACTGTACAAAATGCATTGATAGAACAGATTTGAAATAATGATTAAATTTCACTGTGAGCGAAAACGAAACTTCATACGACGTTTGAACAGAAGAGCGTTTAAATTCAGTACAACTGACAAATTACAAAACAAACAAAAACTTCATACAGAGTGGTTTCTCGGTAATTTCCGGTAACACAAAGTAAACAGCCAACCAAACATTCTTCCCTTCGCAGGATATTCTAAGGTTGTTTCGGGCATAAGAATGAGAAGAAACTGTCGAATCAATCTACTTTTACTTACATTCCCTTCTGTCCTATTGCACCACTGAGAGAGAAATAATGTTACACTTTACAACTATTGTTGTGACCCAAGAATGCGGATGACACAAGGGTTATTTATTCGGTAAAGCAATAGACGGGTTAAGTATGTAAACCAAACCTGTCACAAAACCACTCATTTGCACGCGGTATTCGGCCTCAGACTGTCTCGGCTACCATAGATGTCAGTGCTCAGTTCCATTAAGTAGCAGGGACTGTTATGGGTGATGCTGCACTTTGATTATGCCTCCTGTAGTCTTCTTGTGGCTTGTACGTTGTCAAAAAATATGTCTTGCACCTGCTACTGAATAGCCGCGGTATCAGTAGTATATTACGGTTGCTGAACTCCATTACACTATATTTGACCGTGTCGAACATCATACACTTGGTTTACTGTTAAACAAATGTTTGATGGAGTACGTGAAATTTATCATGTGTGGTTGAACAGTGATGTGATTCAAACACTTCCTGTCCTCAACTGAAGCATCATCGATTATTACGTTGACAAGAAATACATCCCTCAGGTTGTTTACCAGATGCTCAAGATTTGGTCAAAGTTGATATAATACCAAATGCTGACTCATAGCGAGACCACTACTAAATTGATGCTCAACCTTGAACTCTCTACCAGATAGAAGTTTGGCTGCTCATCAGTCGGAGTCACAAGTTGAAAATGAAATTATCAACGATCCTGCTGTTCACGATTTGACTACTGACCAACAGTTTACTTCATTCAGCTATCTATTATGATATATATCATGTCGTGCTTAGCCTGCTGTTCACTCGATAAAAACAAGACTGACTGGTCACACTGTTTTATGCATATTGCGTTTCACTCGATTGAAAGCTACATGCAAAATTGATAGCCAGCTTCGTGGACGGAACAACGACCTTTGAGCCCAAGTAACTGAGGCGAGCTTAGGAACCTATTTCCAGTTTCTTCAACTGTTGACAACAGCCAACTGCTAACCTACAGGAAGGTTATTCCCACCAAGAACTGTATATCTTTATGGTGGTGTTTGTTGTTAAGATACTGTTTGAAATTAGAGATGTGTTCTAATCGTGCACACTCCTAGACCTGGATGTAAACCATGTTTCCGCTTCGGTTTGAAATTACAGACATAAAACGCGATGTTATCAAAGGCATGAGTGGATTGTGTGTATATTTGCCTTCAAGTGTATGCTAACCGAGTATGAATTTAAAACTTTCAAACGAGTTAGCCGTGACTATATAGTTAGCCAGCTTGTTCTAGTGTGAACAGACCCTAGCTATGAAACAGTTCTCCGCACGTGTTACCTTTCAAATTACACAGTCAGCCCTCGAGAAACCGATATATCTTGGCCGGATTTTCCCGTCATTTGCAGTTTGTAGGATATCACAGTTGACGAACGCCTTTGGTAGATGGAATGTCATGTAACAAAAGATGTAAGCTGTAGTTTAATTCGCACGGTAATCGGATATTAATGTCAACGGAACTTGTGCCCATGTTTGTCTTCCATGATGAACCAAGCGTTTTGGATGGATTATTTTTCAGAGGTATGCTGCACTATGTCCATCTCTTAAAAGTGAGGTTCTGATCTGACATGTCACGTCGTTTTAAAGATTAAGTATTTAACCGGTTAGTAGGTCAGAAGTACAATGCTCATCAGTCAATAGAATCAGTGATGACACGTGCAGTACTGGAGAGATATGAACAGAAATTAGACAGCGACACATCTACTCATGAAGTTAGACCGTATGATAGCAGTAGATTATTTGATGGACACTTTGAGCTCAACCTTTTGATCACAATAGGTACGAACAGACACAAACAAAATACACTACAGATCCCCTTGCCAATGACAACAGAGAATAGTTGTTTCTGGTAACGGACAGTAATTAATCGGTAAGTAATCCCTAGATTTCAGTCAAAATTTGAAAGCCATGCATTATTGTTGTAGACCATCACATAAACAATTGGATGAAGAAAGAGATGGCGGACAAATGGAAACAAAGTAATCATCAAAGACAAGTGTACCAAAAGAATTCTTAATTGATGTTTCGGGAACTAAGAAACAAGCCATCACACGAGTCTGGAAGTGGCCCAACGCAAAATCTGTGTATTCGAAGAACGAGAACGCTATATTTCTCGCAAGTTAATTTCTTTAAAAATTCAAACCACGTTCACCATGAACCAAGTGACATTCTCAAACTAGGTGTGACTGAAACCTAACTGTGTTTTTATCATTAAACATTTAGCACAGTAAGCTGAGTTGTCGCCGTCCAAGTGTGAACCGCAATAACCACAACTACGTGGATATCCAGATGAGAGATGTAACAGATGGTGAGAAGACCTTGTGATAATTACAGCTAATCAACGAGATGACAAGTCCATTGATCACCCGCAGAGACGGACTTAAGTTTTGATGTCGCTTAAACTGTCTGTGGTCATTATTTCCGGGTGTCTATACCATTGGTGGAAAGCAGTGAACACAGTCGATCATAGTAAACAAAGGCACCCATCACGACGTTATCTGCGTGGACTAAAACGCGACTGAAAATGAATTGCGGATCGGTTAGTTTCCACAAGCAGCCGAAATCGCGTGGATCGGCTAGCCACATCTGGTCAATAGGTGTAGATTACTTTACCCGCACATCTTTTCTCTTTTCACGACAGGTGATTACTGATTACTGAGGCTAGAATGAGTAAACTTCATTTTAACAAGAATACATAGAAAATTTTTTGTCGACTACACACGCTGGAAAGAAGACACGGGTGATTAAATATTTTCTATAATTAATATGCAGGTTGACAGCCACAGATTAGTTTTCTATAAGTTAAACGCTTCCAAAGTAGTAGTTCTATAAACTGTTACACACTTTGAATAGTCAGTGAACTACGAGTCCTCAGATGTAGTAGGTTTCCAAATGTTCTCATTAATGTGTATAACATGCGATTAGGATCGTCATTTATGGTACCTTGGCTTGGAATGTGGCCGTGACTGTAACTGGGTCTTGCGCACCTCAGCGCTAGCTAGCACACTCAAGCGGACAATCGCGTATCCTCTGGAGAGTACATCTGGTTGTATAACCGAATTAATGAAGTGTACCTGACCGTGTTCGTTACAACAGTCCACACAGATTAAAGGTTCACCACCAAAAGTACATTTATTGACTCGGAAAAGAGGCAAACTTCCACCTGCTAATTTCAACACAGTTTTAAGTGGAAGTTGTGGGATCAATAACAAAATGATCTACAGGTACATCCGAAGTAAACCTCAAAAGCTGTCGACGCTGTTTCGTCTGGCGACATAGGTGGATGGTTTTGACTTGAACCAGTGAAGCAAGCAGGTATCTCATTCCAGTTAGTTGTCATTCTAAGTGTTGCGATCGCGTTGAACTTAGCCAAATGCTGGCTTGACTCTTTCTGTGGGCGTACTTAATCGAAAATCGACATGAACAAGTCTCTCGCTAGACTCAGTGTCAAATAGGTTTATCTCGCTGTTGTTAATTTAATAAAGTTGATGTTTTTATCGGTGGTGCAATGAATTTGACAAAGTTGCCTATTAATTGCAAGATGGAAGCTTTTCCCATAGTTGTTCCGAACATGACAGTAGGGCGCAGGTTTAATTTGTGTATAGCTCCCTGGTATCACGGAGACTGTACAGACAATCGCCGGATGCTTCAAGGAGTGTTATGTTTAACAGAATGATGCTAGACTAATAAAACTGTTTACTGTAACAGCAAGAACACAGAGCAGTCAATTCAACGTACACATTATGTTAACAAGAAACATGTGAACCATTAGTTTCCACGACTGATAGGACGGACAATTCAAATAGTTATTGACTGATCGTTAGACACACAACACGTGTGGGACAATCGTTGACACACCATGTGGACGTAACAATGAGAGAGATGCAAATCGAAGTCAGATAGCTTCATCAAGCGTAAATTGATCGTTCGCGAAATTCATACTGACGGATTGTTTTATTGACCGAAACGTTAGCGACCGTTCACATACAGTCATAGATGAACTAACCGCTAACGTTTCTGACCTACGTGAACAATCATTCTACGTTTGTACGATCATCCCACAGTTCTTAAGGACCGAGTGCCATTAAGACCGAGACTGGACATTTACAGTTCACCGTATCATGATTTGACTCAATGGCTATTGAAGATATCAGAACCGATTAAATCGCAACTGACTTCTTTCAATCTAAAGGACATCTTCGACTTTGTAGATTCAATCGATTCAGTGAAAATCAGAAACGACAACATATTGTCTGTATTCACCACTGCAGGAAACTATTAATTCTCTCTGCATTTATACCAAGAACAATCAAATTGATGTCGAAGTTATAGGGGAAAATTGAAGGAACTATTAACATCCGGCACTTATAATGTCCAAATTCAACTAAATAATTATCT